AGCAAAGAAACCGTCAACAAAGTGAAAAGGCAACCTACAGTTTTGGGGGAAAATATTTGCAAACAAACCATATATCAGGGAATTAATATCCAAGATTTATAAAGAACTCACACAACTCAATAGTAAGGAAACATATAATCAGATTTTTTTTTAAACAGTACTTGAGATTGAACCCAGCTTCTCTTGCATGCTAGGCAAATGCTCTACCACTAAGCCATATCTTCAGGCCCTGAAAACATAATCTGAAGAAATGGGCAAAGGACTTGATTATACATTTCTCCAAAGATGATATAAAAATGGCCAACAGGAACACGAAAAGGTGCTCAATCATCGAGGAAATGCAAATCAAAACACTATGAGCCGGGTGCAGTGGTACACATCTGTAATTCCAGCAATTTGGGAGACTGAGGCAGGAGGATCCCAAATTTGAGGCCAATCGGGGCAACTTAGCAAGACCCTGTCACAAAATTAAGAAATAAAAATTTAAAATGTTGGAGATGTAGCTCAGTGATAGAGCACCCCTGGGTTCAATCATAGTATAACAAAAGAATATACATATGAATATTTTAAAATATTTATAAGCATGTGAAACTGATACTTTTAATAGTTTTTTTTAAAAAACAGAGGCGCTATATTTATTTGGTACATAGTCCTTTTTTGAGGGTGTTTCTGCTTTGTCTTAGGGTAATTTTGAACCCAGTGATGTTTAAAGTAGACAAGGTCTTCCTTTTCTATCATTCTCTCAATGGCAAACATATCAGGGGACTTCAAACTGGATCAAAGTTAGGAGTTTTTAGAATAAGTATTATTTACTCCAAGTGTTTGGAGCCCTTGTATGCTGTAGGTAGAAATGTAGGTTGGTGTAATCATTATGGAATCAATATAGAATTTTCTAAAGAAATTGAAAATAGAGCTGCCCAATGACCAAGTATTAAATCAGTACCCCGTAAAGATTTTACACTCCCAACATTCATTGCAGCATTATGCATAATAGCCAAGATCCGGAAACAACCTAGGTGTTCATCAAGAAATGAATGCATCTACTCTTATCTAAGGTAGATAAAGTTCAAGACCCTCAATGAATGCATGAAGTTGTAGATAGAACCAAATCTTATACATGCTCTTTTTTTCATATACATACATACATATGATAAAGTTTAATGCCTTTTCCATCTTAATCAGGTGCTTCTCATTTACTGTGACTATACACTTTGCAGTTTTTGGTGTGACAGCTAAACCAGCAAATTTTTCTTTTTCCTTTCTCACAATTTCATAGAAGATTCATTCTTACTCTATATATTAGCAACATCAGCATATGGGKTTTTTAAAATTCCCTTTTTATGTCAAGAACTTGACCTTTTCACTTAAAGGAAGCACTTGACTATTTTAATAATCCAAATTGCCATCATCATCATTGTTGCACTTTAGGATCATTATTAAGTAAAATGAAGAGCTTCTTGAACACAAGCACTACAATACTATGACAGGCAATCTGACAAGAAGATTGCTGAGTGACTATTGGGTGGTTAGCATATACAGCATGGATACAGTGGACAAAGGGATGATTCATGTCCCAAGCAGGGTGGAACAAGACTACACAAGATTTCATCATGCTATGAAGAAGAGTACACAGTTTAAAACTTGTGTACTAGAATTTTTCATTTAATATTTTAAGACCATAGTTGACTGAGGGTAGCTGAAACTATAGAACAAAAAACTGCAGATAAGGAGGGATTACTATATATACACATGATGGAATATTATCAGCCTTAAAAGAAGAAGAGATCCTGCCATTTTCCACATGGATGGACCTGGAGGACATGCTAAGTGAAATAGGCCAGACACAGAAAGAAAATCATTGCATGTTCTCACATGTGGACTCTAAAAGAAAAGGGAAGGTGTCAAACATATATAGACATAGTCGTTTCTGAGGAGGGGTAGGAAATGCGACAGTGTAGGTCAGTGTAGGGTACAAAATACCAGCTATGTAGGATGAACAAGTCCAAAGACCCAGTATACAAAATGAGGACTGTAGTTAATAGTAGTACATTTCATTCACGATTTTTGCTAAATGAATAGATTGTAGTCATTCTTGCCATAAGGGTCGGGGGGAAGAACTGGTGAGTATGTGACAAGATGGATATGTTAATTTGTTCCACCACAGTAACCATCTTACATACACACACATATATACACACATATGTGTGTATATGTACACACACATATATGTATAGACCTCCATATAGACGTTTGTGTATATACATGTGTTACATACTTTAAATATACACAATACAATTTGTTGTAAAAATAAATAAAGCTTTTACTATTCACACTGGGGGCAGGAATGCCCTCCGTTTGAAAGTTCACATCCTCAGTTTCACAGAATTTTTCTCATATTGTATTTTCATCTCAAGATTTGATATCCCGAATAAATCCTAGAGAAACTCATTATGATCTGAAGAGAAGGAAATTACAGAGCCATCCATGGGTAATGCAAGGTGAGAGAATGCCAGTGTTAGTCTCTCAAGGTCTATAGAGACTCCGCAGGTAAAAGTTTATCCTAAATGTAGGGATATTAGCCTTAATTTTAAAATGTTAATCTTAATTTCAGCAGACTCGGCAGTGTTTTAACTTTTGTTATTCTTTCTAGATGGCAATAATTATTTAACAAAACAAGAGTAGAGGTCTAGATACCAAATCAGTTGTAGCGGAGACGGGGTGGAGTGGGTGTTCATGGCCTTCGCTGATCTGGCCATATCCTGAGTACCTGAAGGAACAGCCTCGGCACCCTACCTCCACTTGTTGGTTTCTTCAGTCTGTCTCTCTTTTTCTTTTAAACTGCAGTGTTTGTTCACATATGCATTCCCATTGTCTGCTCCTAGATTTTTTTCTTTCATTGAGTTTTTCAATATTTATTCCTTAGTGATATTTATTGAAACACTTAACTTGGAACTTTCAGTGGCATCCCAAAATAGACTTTAGCAAAAAAAAAAAAAAAAAAAGCCAAACTGTTTTCAACTAGATCACAAGCTCTCACACTGGAAGTTAAAGTGGCAATCACAGGTGCTGCCAAGTGATTTAACTTAGTTTCTCTTTCAGGCTCAGGGGACTAGTTCAAAGAAAACCGCTAGGTCTTTTTGAATTGCCACCTACCTACTCCCTTCCTTCGCCACCCCAGGAAGAGACTTTTGGAAAGTTGCTGCCTTAGGGACCAAAATAAGTAGACCATTCATTTCTCACAGATATGAAAATTATCACTAAAGGCCTCTCTCCGTAGTGTACTGCTCACACTAAGGAACAGAAAGTTAATGCATTAACTCAGGTCTGGGGTAGGTCATCTTCCACATCTTAGGCAAGTGATATGGAGATAATAACACTTGTCATGAAGAACATTAATTCAGCAACCATCCATGAGCTCCTACCACATGACGTCATTTTAGTCATGAAGTGCACCTTGACACAGAAGGGAGAGTGGGGCTGATATTAGCTGGAGTTGGTAAAGATCTCTTTGAGATAGTGATGTTGAACTACAGATCTTGCATGATGATAAGGAGATAAATCTTGTAAAGATAAAGCAAAACAATTACAAAGAGAACAGCAAGTTCAGTGCCACCAAACAGAAACAAAGTTGGCATGACAGAGAAGATCTGTGTGGAAAAATGGCCAGAGGTATGGTTGGGGGGAGAGGTGAAATACTACAGGCTAAAACAAGGAGTTTTAGATTCATGAGGCTCCACTGGAGGAAATTAAGCATGTAGGTGACATTTTCTGTTTTAGAACCTGCAGGAGAAGAAAATCAGAAGTAAACAAGGAACGAAAGGTTGTATAGACTAGGGTTAAAATAAAGAAAATGGGGGAAATTCACTAGATTCAGGATATATTTTGAACATAGACTAGATTAAGATGTACTGAATGGAATAGGTGTGGTATTTAAGAAAGGATGAGGGATGATGGGACTTTAACCTGAGCATTAACTGGGATGGAATTTTGGAGGTAAAAATTAATTTTTGTTTGGACATATTAAGATTCAGATGTTTATTGCCCATCTGAGTGAAGATGTCGAGAAAGCAGTTTTAAACTCTGTGAGGCTGGAGGTTTAGGTTTGAGAATTTTCAGCGTGTAGGTGATATTTAAAGCCAGGGAACTTGGAGGAGATCAGCTGGGCAGAGTGTAGATGTTAAGAGGAACCGAAGACCAAGCCCGTGGCTCTCTGGTAAGGGACTAAATGTTCGTAGAGTGCTTAGCCCACACTAAATGACAGATTGTGTGCTGTCATTGTTTCTGGGCTTACTTCTTGGAGGTATATTGGCTTCAAGCACATATAGAGCCATAAAAGGCCATGTGGGCCCAAAATTCATCATTCCCTTACCTCGTTTTCCTCCCTTCAGGGAGCCACATGGCTGCCTGTGGGCGGCTTGGGTTTATTTCCACGTCTCGGATGTTTCTTCGGGAGGCCACCTTGGTGAGGGGTAGAATGTGCTGTCAAGACAAGCTCCTCTAGAGCCTGATGTCCGAGGGGTTTGCTAAGCTGCTCCCAGGCACTGAGATGAAAGTTTCCACAAATATGGATATATGTGGTAATGAGGAAGAGAATAATGTGTTGCCACCATGCTCACCCTAGGGCTTGTGCCCAAACGCAGACTATGCACAGACAGCTAGAGCACATGCAAGTGGGAAGCTGCTCCCAGGGTCCACAGAGGCCAGCAAAGCCTGGCTCTGGGTTCTGAATTCTGAGTTCTTCCCAGTTCTACCTGTGATCTCCTCCCTAGAAGTTCTTGTCGTAAAGATTACCATTACACTTCAAATCAAAAGAGGTGGCCCATCACACACACTGACAGGACAGGAATCGTTGGAACTATACAGTGAACCCACTCCAGATCATGTGATTCAAATGTTAGGTAAAATCTATCTGTCTTGGCTTTGACAGTAAAATCACAATAAAATAACAATCGAATTGATGAATCAGTTCCAACATATGTTTTGTCCTTCTCCCTCCAAAGGCTCTCCTTCTCCATGTCTGCAGCAGACAAAAAAACATAGATGTGCTGGGCTTGCACCTCAGACAACGCAGGTGCATATAGAATACGAGAGAGAGGAGATCATGACGAGTCCCTGGACGTTACCTCCTGAAATCCACCGAATTCTTCATGAGACTCCTGGTTCCCTTTTGCAGGTGAGCACCATTCTAGTGTTGGGTTTGTCTGATAGTCGCTGTGTTTGTTACTGTTATTACTATTGTTTGTTTTTTGTGAGATGTGGAGATACTGAGTGATTGTTTAAGTCAGTTTGAGATAATYGTTCAAGGCAWCCACCCTTGTGGGTTAGTATTCCAGCATTTCTCTTTCAGAATTCTCCTAGTGTTTATATTTTCTTTTTCATTACAAAACAGCAAACATGAGAACAAATAAATGTACCATAGGCATTAAAATCCATTCTGCTCACTGTTCAGATCTTGTGCCAGGGTAAGTGTCAGATGACGTCCAGCTCACTGTCAGTCTGGGTGTGCTGGGCAACTACAGCCTTGACACCCTTCAGCTCTTTGATGGATGGGACAACTCTGCTACCACAACTGTCTTCCCTCTCAATTCTACAGGACTTGTCACAGGAAGAGCCTGAGCCTCATTTTGGGGTGGCTGGCATGCACAGCATGTCTGAGAGCACTGGCAGCATCCTCAGCAATCTTGACTGGAATGCCATTGAAGATATGGTGGCCAGTGTGGAGGAAAAGAGCCCATCCGTCCGCTGGGCCATGGGCCTGTAAAGTCTGGASATCATTCTGTTTCCAGGCACCAGCAAGCAACTCATTAAAGTGCTTCTGAAAGATTTGGGGGTTTAGGAGAGGAACAATGAAGAAAGCAAACTGAATTTACCACCTACAGCCATATTATCTCCTGGATTAGTCATTTCAAGAGGGAAAATAAACATTTCTCAATAATTTTGTCTTCATAAGGGCTTTTTATAATAGATGTGCTAAGTCTTTGCATTTGGCTTATGTTTAGGCATCATTTAAAAACACATAAGTACCCTTTCAAGCCATGTTTGCATAATAAACTACTTTCAGTAAAAATATATCATGCCTCTTCCTTTACTACATTCTGTGTTCTGAGAAATAACTTTCTGTGGTGAACTTAATAGGAAAAATTCTTTCATTGAGAAGAAAATCACTACTCTTGCCTGAAAAACTCAGTAATGAACACTATTATAGAACTTATCCTTGCCAGGCATCGTGGCACATGCCTATAACTCCAGCTACTCAAGAGGCTGAGTCAGGAGGATCACAATTTCAAGGGCAGCCTGTGCCTTAGTAAGACTGTGTCTCAAAATTAAAAATAAAGGGGCTGGGGCTGGGGCTCAGCGGTAGCACACTTCCTGGCATGTGCGAGGCACTGGGCTTGATTCTCAACACCATATATAAATAAGTAAAAGAAAGGTCTGTCAACAACTAAAAAAATATTTTTAAAAAGTTAAAAAGGGGGCTGGGGATGTGGCTCAAGCAGTAGCGCGCTCGCCTGGCATGCGTGCGGCCTGGGTTCGATCCTCAGCACCACATACCAACAAAGATGTTGTGTCCGCCGAGAACTCAAAAAAATAAATATTAAAAAAATTCTCTGTCTCTCTCCCCTCTCTCACTCTCTCTCTAAAAAAAAAAAAAAAAAAAAAGTTAAAAAGGGCTGGGATATTAGCTCTGTGATAAAGTGCCCCTAAGTTCAACCTCTAGTATCAGTAAACAAAAACAAAACCCCAAATAAAACATATCCTTAAATTACTTGTATAATGTTTGGCCACTTCACATGGATTTTGAACTTGTAAATAAGCCAGGTTTCATGTAGTACTAGAGACCCGTCTTCTGCCCTATAACCTACATTCTTGGAGGAAGGAAATAGGAATGGATGCTTTAGGTGGAAAGAAAATGTGAATCCTATTCTCAAAGGCTTATCTTAACCTTGTAAAAACCAAGGTGCAGAGGCCCACTAGTTTCTAGAACTATACTCGGTTTTAACTAAAAACTAGGACCCTTTAGCCACTTGTTGATTATTGATGTAGTATCAAAGAATCCTGGGTTGGGGTTGTGGCTCAGCGGTAGAGCGCTCGCCTTGCAAGCACGAGGCCCTGGGTTTGATCCTCAGCACCACATAAAAATAAATAAGTGAAATAAAGGTAATGTGTCCAACTATAACTAAAAATAAATATTAAAAAAAAGAATCCCAATGCTAGTTATTCCTCCTTTCCCAACGCTGTGAAGCCAAATTTTCGTCATATACTTCAACCAAAAGAACATATTGCTGCAGGATGAATGAAGAAGCAGGGAATTTAGCCGTTAACATTAAAGAGATTTGCAGAACCTGTAAATTAATTACATTCTTCCAATTTTTTTGAAAATGGTTTTTACAAAGGAGCTGGGGCTGTAACTCAGTGGTAGAGCACTTGCGTAGCATGTGTGAGGCCCTGGGATTGATCCTCAGCACCACATATAAATAAATAAAGGTATTGTGTCCATCTACAACTAAAAAATAATGTTTTTTTATAAAAATGTGATATTGAATGAATTATTAGTCATTTTACAATTTTTTCCACATTTTTCATTGGTGCATAATATTTGTTATTACATATTCATATACGCTCATGCACATGATATAACAATATATTTTAGATGATATAACTATTGCAGTCCTTTAAAATAATGCTTAACAATTTTAATTACAGGTAGAGCCACATAAAAGTTCTTTGGTTCTCCTTTAATGTAAGGAGAACAAAATTTGGCAACTGCTACTTTACAGTTAGTAGAAGGAATCCTTAGTATTCAGGCTATTCAGAGCCAAAAGTCACTTGAAGTTTCACAGTTCTTTTATATTTCATACTCCCTCCAGCTGAGCTACTCTTAGAGTAATTCCTTTTATCTCCATTAAACAGTCAGGTTTTTTTTTAAGGAAATTTTTTCACAGTTCTTTAGTTTCTTTCTATAGATCTAAATTTCTATCTAGTATTTCCCTCAATCTGAAGATTATATTAGTTGTGTTTTTTTGTTTGTTTTGTTGTTTTTTCCTGTTGCTGGTACTGAGCATTGAACCCAGGGCTTCGCACATGCTAGTCAAGTGCTCTACCACTGAGCTATACCCCAGCCCAGTGCAGGATTGAACACAGGGCCTCACACATGCTAAGTAAGCACTCTACTGCTGAACTGTATCCTTGACCCATTTGTTTCTCCCACCCCCACCCCCACCCCCGCCACCGTATTGGGGATTGAACCCAGGTAGGAGAGATTTACCACTGAGCTCCATCCCTAACCCTTTTTATTTTTAATTTTGAGATAGGGTCTCAGTTACTAAAGGCCTCACTAAATTACTGAGTGTGGCCTAAAACTTGTGATCCTCCTGCCTCAGTCTCCTCAGTTTCTGGGATTACAGGTGTGCGCCACCATACTTAGCTCCCAGACCCATTTTAAAATTTTATTTTGAGACAGGGTCTCACCAAGTGCCCAGGCTGCTGTACTTGAATATGCAATCTTCATAAGCCTCCACAGTAGCTAGGGTTACAGGCCTGCGGCCCCACAACCAGCCCAGCATTTTTTTGGGTGGGGCGGTGTGGAGGAGAGTACCAGGTATTGAGCTCAGGGGCACTCAACCACTGAGCCACATCCCCACCTCTATTTTGTATTTATTTAGAGACAGGGTCTGAGTTGCTTAGCACCTCGCTTTTGCTGATGCTGGCTTTGAACTTGAGATCCTCCTGTCTCAGCCTCCTGAGCCGCTGGCATTACTAGCATGAGTCACCATGCCTGACTCCAGCATTTCTTATAGTGTATATCTCTGGCAATTCTCTCAGATTTCATCCAGGCCAAGTGTAGCTTTATTTCATCTTTAGTCTTAAGTTTTTAAAATTCTGTTATTTGAGGAGTACAACGTGTTCTGATAAACTTTCATGGGTACAGCATTATTTGATATACATAGTGAAGTTATTACTATGGTCCAGTAAGTTAGCATGCGTCATCTTCCACCRTGTGTGCAGGATGCAGCACTACCAACTGTGGTCCTCAAGTACATTTAGGCCTCTGGATTTATGCATCCTAAAGAGCTGCCATGTTGTGCCCTTTGACCTATTGACATCTTCCCATACCTGACTTGTAACCACCATTCTTCTGTTTCTGTGTTTTATTGTTTTGAAATTCCATATGTAGTGGGGCACACTTGTAATCCCAGTGGCTGGCAGGCTGAAGCAGGAGGATCACAAATTTCAGACCAGCCTCAGGAACTTAGCAAGACCCTAAGCAACTTAGTCAGAACCTTTCTCAAAGTAAAAAAATAAAAAGGGCTGGAGATGTAGCTCAGGGGTAAAACACCTCTGGATTTAACCCCCAGTAGCTCCCCCCCCAAGAAAAATCCATGTGTAAGAGATTCACAATGGCAGATTAGAGAAAGGCTGCATATCCAGTTGCTCCATGGCTCAGGCAGCAGGGTGCCATTTCTCAGGGAGGTGGGTAAAAGAGGGAATTCACTGAAGTTCAACATCAGACAGTCAGAAACTCTTAAGAGACCCAGAAATTCTGGGGCACGAAACAAAACAAGAAAGAACATTGGAGCCAAGCCAGCAGCATCAACAGCAATAGCACTGGTTTGCCACAAGGGGGAGAGATGACATAAACAGGACACAACAGACAAACTTGGCACAGAAAAACCTGCAGATCAGGAGAGCAACCTGAACTTAGCTGATGCGGAGGCTACAGGGCCAACTGGTGTTTGAAAAGGGCTCCCCATTTTTCAACTGGCAGGTGGAGAAGTGAGGCAGGAACCATCTTGAGGTGTCCACACTGCAACTTGCTACTTTGGGAGCCCAGACCATAACAAATATGGCCTTACTGTCCTGCCAAGTGCCCACTGGGCGGACTAGGGTGTGCCTAGCAGAACATGATTGAAACAGGCACAGTGAAGATTGGTACCCAGGGGGATTCAAGTCAGAGATACAGAGGGGATGCAACTCCCTTCTCTTTGCATCTGGCAGCTCGCATGACCAGCTAAAGAGTGTTGGGAAACTACACTTGGGGACTCAGCCTGGGAACACCACCTCCATAGGCAACAGGATGTGTGAGACCTGTAAGGGTTGGCTTCCACAGCCTATGGGTAGAGATTTTGGGAAGCCCTGGAGAGATCAGCATCTGCCCAACCCTAAGGGTGTGTTGATCTGATTTCTCCAAAACAGATACCATCCAACTAAGTCCCAAAGATCTGATGAGAGTGAAAGTCCAGCCAGTGGAACTTCCCATTTAGAACTCTGCAGCAGCCCCACCCCAGGAGCTCAGTGATCTGTTCTGTCCAAACAAAACTTCAATCAAGAGTACTTTCCACTCTGTCCTATTGTACTGATGGCAGGGGAAGCTGACAGCTATTTTAGCCACCTGCAGTTCTAGGCCACTCCAACTGGCAGCTCAGTGAGCAGCACAAAGAGAGGACCGGTTGAACAATCCCAGCCCTTGCTCTAACCGCCCAAGAAGAAACGTCTGGCATAGGCAGCGAACATTTGTCCTTGTCCAATAGTTTTGATCACCTCGGCAGAAATGCAGAGAATTCTTTCATTTTTTTTTTCTTTTTTCATCTTTCCAGTTGTAGATAGACACAATATCTTCATTTTATTTATTTGTTTATGTGTTGGTGAGGATCGAACCCAGTGCGTCATTCATTCAAGGCAAGTGCTCAACCACTGAGCTACAACCCCAGCCCAATTCTTTCGTTTTTTATTAAGACTCTCCCCATCGCCTTTATAAGTGTGTGTGTGTGTGGTGGGGTTATTCTTGCTATGCTGATTGGTTCATGAAATGTGTGTACATTTTTTTCTATATTTAACATTTTTGGGGGGTCTTTTGAGGGGTTAGGATTAATTGGGGGGGGTTGTTTGGTTGTTTTGGTACTGGAGATTTAACCCAGGGGTGCTTAATTACTGAGCCACATCCCCAGCCCTTTTAATTTATTTTTTATTCTGAGATAGTGTTTTGCCAAGTTGCTTAGGGCCTACCTTGTGGAGCCTG